AGCATTTACTGTCCTGGATGGTACCAGCACAAAGGCTGTGTAATCTTCAAAAGATTTATTTGAAAAAGAAGAAAATCTACCTTTTGTGTGGTATATAACTAACATCTGCAGCCCTGTGCCTTCAGGTGAACAACTGGCGCAGTGACTGGGTGAGTTTCTTTGCCAGACAAAGGATCCAGCCCCAGATGGACCTGATTGAAAGGAGCTCAGGAGACAGGGAAGCAAGAGAACTTTGGGCACAGCTTCAGGTAGGAGCAATTCCCTCAGTTCTCATTGTAACGACAGCTGGGTGTCAGTTATCTAGATTTTATTTTCTTAAAACTAAGTTCCTGTTTGTTGGTTTGCTCCAGGTTCTGTTGGTAAGAGATTACACATTTTAGAGATTAGAATACCCTTTATTCTAAGGTATAATGGCTTTTGCCACATCACCCTATGATAGCATTCCAGAGTGAATTCCAAAGTGCCAGATAGCACTTTGCTATACTGTTTGGGAAATCTAATAGATGGAGTTYGTATTTGTCATTGCCTGTAACACTTTCACGATGAGAAGTGTGCATAAGCAGTACTATTCTGCACATTGTTAATTTACTTTTTTTTTAAGTGACTGCAGTATTGGCTTTTTGGGTACTTCCTTAAGGTTACTGAGAGGTGCTTGAGCCTTCTAATGATGACCTGGTGGTGTCTGTTGTTATTAAACYTGATCAATGTTGCAGCACCAAATGCAGTTTTACATTTTTTACTRACTGCCTGAAAGAGATGTGCATAACTGTTTTGCTGCTGGCTTTAATGAGGAACAGGAATCCTCTGGATTTGTTCAGCATCTCTCTTGACCAGGTTCTCTGCTGTTTCAAGTTACAGGTTCATTTAACTGACTTTTTAAAAGTATGCAGATAAACCTCTACACTTTAAGGTGAACGATGGTAGTAATTTACATGTTTTGCTTTTCCCCCCTGCAGCTGAAGATACCCAGTTTTTTCAGTGGTATAGAAATCGTTCCTTCTCTCCTGCATGGGGATCTTTGGGGAGGAAATGTAGCTGAGGATGATTCTGGTCCGGTTATCTTCGATCCAGCCTCTTTCTACGGACATTCAGAGTACGATCTTGCAATAGCTGGGATGTTTGGTGGCTTTGACAGTGCTTTTTATTCTGCTTATCACAGTAAAATCCCCAGAATCACAGGGTTTGAGAAACGCCTKAAGCTTTATCAGCTGTTTCACTACATGAACCACTGGAACCATTTTGGTTCAGGGTACCGAGGGTCTTCTATAAACATTATGAGAAACCTTGTAAAACAAGTTGGTGCTTAAGCCAAATACTTCCTGTTTGGAAAACCCCAGACTAGCTGGTGCAGCTGCAGGTGTAGTGATTTTAAAAACCCCTTATGAGACCCTTGACCCTCTCGCTCAGCTGAAGACCTTAGAATCAGTAAATCCTATTGAAAACCCAGTGTAGCTTAGTTACCCCTTTTTAGCATAGCTGGGAATAGCTTTATCATGGAAATATCTGCAGAAGGAGCTTATTCATTTGCAGTATGAATAAATATCTTAACATCCAGAAAGTACTTGAGATTATGCAAAGTAATACAAATAAACACTGAAAAGATGCCTACAAGAGTTACTCTTCACATTGTGCTGTGTCTTCCAATCTCTTTCAACTATTCACGCTCAGTTGTGTGCATGAGAGTAATGTTAACAACATGGTTTGAAAGCCTGCAGGAAGATTACTGGAACAACAACTGTGAGAAAGGATTTGGACTTGCTATTCACACAGTCACAGTATGGGCGAGGTTGGGAGGGATCACTGGATATGATCTAATCCAGTGCTTTAAGCAGAGTCCCATAGAGCACATTACTCAGGGTTGTGTCCAGAGGCTTTTAAAKACCTCCAGCTTGTTGCTAATGTATTTCTTTTGGATGGAGACGAATGTCTTATAAAGTGGTGTGAAATTTTGGTGCCTCCTGGCACGCTTGTAAGCTGTTCTGTGCTTTCTGATCAGTGGGCTTTTGTCCACAGCAATTTGAGTTACACCAGAACTCATTCTCTCTTCTTTGTTTGGATTATGCTTTTGTCCAATAGTGTGCATTTTTAGAGAACTTTTGAGTAAGACGCTTAGTGTGTACACATCTTGTAGAGGTGTATTCTCTCACCACTGCCAGCACAAGATGCTTTTGACTCTTTTCACTGCCCATGACACAAGGCCATCTGGTTGTGGTGTAGTCTTCACATACATTTTCTGTAGTTTTAGAGTACAGGTGCCRTAAGATAACGTTTCAGTCCTTGTGGAGAAATTTTATAAAACAAGGAGAAGTGTCCAAGTTGACAGTAGTTCACCAGAAACTGCAGCTCCAGGAGCAGGGACACTGAGGAAGCTTGGGTGSKGCTCTGAGAGAGGCASGAAACAAAGGATGGAGAGGCATGGAATTGTTGTGGTCTTGCTCAGTTTAAAGCAATCYAGCCAACAGAAGCTAAGCCAAGGAAGGGCCTAGCCAGTGACCAAAAGCTGACCTTTGTTTCATTGGCTTGAAAATACATAAAGTTTTTCACACCTGCATACACTCATGAAGTGAAACCTGTGCATGTTTCATGTGTGTGACTAAAGTCACTCAAACTCCATGTAATCATGAAATGACATCAGTTGTAATTTTGTGTTTTCCCCATCCCCAAAGAAAACTATAAATACAACATAGGAGGGGATGGATGTCAGAGGTGACTCCCCTGTGTATCCTGGGAGGGCCAGTGAGCTGTACCCCTCTGCTTCCCCATGGGATGCCTGTCAGGTAATCTTTATTCCAAGGGGATAGAACTGCTTATGCTTTCTGATACCAGTGTATTTATCAACAATAGTTTATGACCCGTTTTCTGTCACAATGATCAGTAAACTACACTGTTTGTGCCCCTGGGATTGAGAACGTACCCACTCTCAATGCTGCACCTTCTATGCATCTGTGGTTGTGAGTGTTCTAATGCACATTTAGAATGCTGCACTGTTTACTCTAAATATAATGTGTGAAGTTCTCCTATGGACTCAGACAAAGAAGGGGAAGATGTAGACACATCTGGGACCAATACATCTGTGGATAACCTGGAAAGTAAGSGGGTCTTCCTTTCCTAAATTTTTACATCACAGTCCCCACTAAGTGCATCCTGTAGCTCTTGTGGTAAGAGACATGAAACCAAAGGAAGTTAACGTGTGACTCACAGCACCTCACCAGTGTCAGAAGTCCTTGATGATAATTCCACAGACTTTGGCTTTACCTGTAAGGTGTAAACACTAACATTGTACTCTTTTGATGTAGGCTGGTAGTGGTTCTTCTGTGCAAGCCCACCAGGTAGGTGAGAGAGAATGCATGAGTTCTAACAAGCACTTTGAGTGCTGGGGAATGACTAGCTAAAAATGCTTTGCACTTGACATTGGTGTATCACTGAGGGTTGGCATTGGCATTATTATATGAGGATTTTTTCAGTTGCTAKTTTTGCAGTTCCTTATACAAAGTGGAAGCAAGTTTGGAGTATGCCATCACTTGCTACATTTTCCTTAAGAATTCTACTACTTTTCTCACTGCCTGCTTGACTTTCCCGGTGCAAAATCTGCTTGGTAGGATAGGTTCTACTTTTATCTTGTTGCTTAAAGAAAAGTTTTCCTCTTGGTTATTGTTCTCTTTGTTTCCTGAATTAAAACCTTCTACCTTGTGTTTATTCTTGGGGAGCTGCTTGCTCTAACCTGCTAGAGGTCACTGCTTTGTTGACAGTCACAGTCATCAGAGATGTTTATGGGAATGTGCATAATGGTCTGGAGCAGTGTGTCACTAAAGAAAATATACATGTTAATTACAGTACAATTTGAGGATCTACTCTGCCTTAAATTTTTTATGTATTTTACCAGAGTAAATATGGATGCTGATGATAAAATGTTATGTCTGTGCAGTCATCTTCATTCCATTACCCAAACTTAGTGCCTTAGTGATTGAGGAAACTCTGTGGAACTTTGGGCAGCAGTCAGCTTGGTTAGATCCCTTAACTGATCCATCTTCCTCCATAATAAAGTTATAAGGTTACTTAATAAGGTCATTCTCTTTATGGATCTTCCACAAGGATGTTAATTTTTCTAAAATACCTAAATATTTTTCATTATTATTAGCAGGAAAAAAGGAATATGGAAGTGGATTTTCTGTCAGTCACAGATGTGAAATAAACTCAGTGATGAACACTGTCATCAGAGATTAGCTTTTCCTAATAGAACTGAATCAAAGTATTTTTGTGATTGAAGAAAAATTGTGTTGTATACAAGTTACACAAACAATAATTTTATTTAGGGTTTTAATTTAAGTGATATTCTACTAATTTKTTTCAAAGCTGTTTTGTGCAGTCATTAAAATTGGAAGAGATGTGAAGAGGCAAATGGAATTTAAGAGGAAGGTCTCCTTTTCCATGCATCCCTTGTCTCTGAGCCTTCTAGACAGCATTTGAATCTGGGGATGCAGAATTGAGTAAAATCTCTCCTGAAGGCACAGTGCTGGCGATTCCTCAAAAAAGATACTGCAATTCTACAAGTTAATGGAGGGGTTTTATATACATTTTGTGTAGTTCTGCACTGCTCTTAGAATTCTTTATCCTGTGATGATTTTGTTGCACTATGTGTTCTAGGCATGCCTTTGCTAGTATTTGTCTCTTTTTCTCATAGTTTGACAATAATGTGTCCTGTTTCTCACTTATTCCTCTGTYTTGGTTCTCTCTGTATGTTCTCAGTCTGATGAGCACGTTTCCTTGTACCCATCCTCTCATTCTGTATTTCCTGGTTYTGTATCGTGTTTTTAATGCCTTTCCTGTTTGGACAAGGATAAAGGGTAAAAAAACTGCAAACCACTAAATTTTTATGAAATAGACAGTGTGTTTGTATTTTGTGTTGTAAGCAACTGTACTGTCCTCTAATAACGTTTCCAAGTCTTTTCTCAAGACAGATCACACCACATGCAATATTTAAACTAATTTTTTTTATTAACACTTTTGGGAATTATTTAGTGGATTGGGATATGATTATGTATAATTTGAGTAATAATTCTGGCTGGAAGAGGAGTTAGGGGAAGGGAAACCTGGAAATCGGAACTCGTTGGTAAGAATCTTAGGAAAATTTGGGTTGGGACAGACCTCAAGCGGTCAGCTAGTTCTTCCTTAGAGCAGGATGAGCTACAAGGATGGGTCGGGTCACTTAGGTTTTTGTCTGGTCTTGGAACTGTCCAAGAATGGAATCTGCACCTCTCTGGGCTTGTTTGTGCTTTTTGTGAAGATACCTGTCTGCAAGAACCTGAGTTGCTCATAGTTCCTACGTTCCCAACATTGGAGTGTGATTTCTCTTTTCATTGCCAAGGACTTCTGCCATCTGCGAAAACTGCCTGCAGATATAAATATTGCACTCTAGTACTGGTTTTCCACATACWTTTCACTTTCAGTGCTGCTCCAAATTAGATCTGATGATTTAAACCTGCTGCAGGGCTATTTCAGCAGAAGTAAAAGCAGGTGGGAACTGGTATAGAATTAGCTTGTCCTGGTAGGCATTCAATGTGACAAAAGAACAATTATGTCTTGAATTCCTGATAGTCCTCACTTGTCAAATTTTTTTGTATCATCTCCAACTGCCCTTGCCCGAGCTGCATCACGAACCCTTTGTTTTGATCTGCTGAGTTTCCCTCTGTGCAGTTACACTTTCTAGTATTGTTACAGCTTCTCTGTATGCACAACTCAAAGATCTACCACCTTTTGCTCATTTCATTGGAAATTAAACCCTCCACTCAACCTTACTCAAGCAGGATCAGTTTGGCACAGGAATCTTAAGATTTTAYATTTCCTTGCAGATTAGTACTGATCACCTCAGTTCCAATTTGTTTGTTCAGCACAACTCCCTCCTAAACTTTTTACTTTAACTATTGCAGAGTTTTTTGACTCTGYATGACACTGCTTATTGTGTTTTCTCTAAAATTTTCATACCAAGCTGTAGTAAAATCCTGCCTTTATTACAAAATATAAAATACTGAGAAAGAAGGATGTCACATACATTCAGAGGCTTTGCCTTTCCTCCTTGGGAGGCCTCARTTAACCCAGCTGAAATGAATAGAAGTGGTTCCGTGATTTCTTAATAAAACTGGGTTTGTTACAAGTGTCCATACTAGGTTTCTCTTGCTTCTTTTATAGTTAAATTCCCAGCCTTTTCTCTCCAGTACATTCTATACATTACCCTGTATTTGTCTTCTTTTAAATTCTGGAAGTGTAAAGTGCAAGGAGAGACAGAGTACAAGCTGTCACAGAGCTGTATTTTGAAAGTACCAACAAAATAGCAATATATGAAGACACTGAAAAAATATTGCTTGTTACTGTGTTGTATTTTAGAAATAGGCATGTACCACTAATCGCTATGGTTTCTGGTCAGTTAATTTCAACTTTAAGCCTTGTAAGTTTGATTCAGACAATGAGTAACTTCAGGTRGAAGACTGGCAATGCAGCCAGAAAGGTATTGCAAAAGCGTAATACTATTGAGGAATAAAATTGCACCTTTAGAATGCAATGCCATTAATTTTAAAAAAAATACAATTACAGCAGAGGAAAACTCCTTTAAACTACTCCTTTCACAAAATGAAACAGAAGAAACTTAATTCTCTCTAASTAGTGTGAAGATCTGTTGTTTAAAAAATATTTGTATTGCTTTATATTGTAGATAATCACATTATAAAAGTTTTAATCAACTAATATAATGTTAATATAAACTAAGTGAAATGATTCTCTAGGCAGAACAATGAAATCCACTTATTTTTAGTGCTSCACTCACACTGTGTTTTTTAAAGGAGATAAAAAGATAGTTTTACTCTGCTTATGAGACCCTGCAGTTTAACATGGAGAGGGAACATTTTTAACATACGTACCTGAGTTTGTGTCACATTTGTTCACAACAGTCAAGTGGTGAAAGGAATTCTTCACTTAGTGAATCCAAGATTACATTCTAAACTGCATAATCTAAAAACTGATTTTATGACAATGATCTCCAGCTTTCAATGAACCAGGCTTAAAAAAAAAAAGTTTTTTTGGGAAAGAAAACATGTTACAGTTTCTGATATGATGATATGATTTCCATACTGAAAAGTCTCTTTTCCATTGTTATATTTTGTTGTTTTCATATGTCTTTGGTTTCACTGGGAGGCCTGGCCTAAACTTTTTATTTACTGTGGATATCACATCCTAAAAATATTCAGAAGCCAGGAAAGTYTATGGGTTTCAGATTGCTAAGTGTAAGATACATGATGCCTCTGGTATTACGACAGCTAAAGTCACGTTGCAATAAGATCCATCAGTTCAACAAAATGTGGTAAAAAAATAACCAGGATTATCCTTTGATATTCTTCCTGTCATTCATGTTACAGTTACAAGGCACAAAGGCTGAAATGGACTCAAAAGTGTTCATACCTAGCAAAATAAACAAGTTTATGTTTCAGATGCAAAGGGGAGGCACAACCCAAGTTCTTGAAGCAGATGAAAGGGCAAAATTTTAGCTCACATACAAAGATCACTCATTGTCAGTCCTATGAAGAAAACTTCAGAGAAACACAGAGTCAGAGCTTGGGGAATGATAAACCCACTCTGGAAATGCACACCTGCTCTTGAAGGTATAGTAAGGGCAACAGGTATCTCACCTCAACATGACAGGGTAACTTGGTATGGAGAGCAGAGCAGAAAGGAAAATGCAGACTACAAGGCTGGGTATCATGACAGCAGAGAGATGGATGTTTCTAGAGAAGGAATTGCGAAGGAGCCGCCCGCTCGTCCTGGAGCGTGGAGTGCCGGTGGGTGCTGCTGCTGTGTCCCAGCCAGGCAGCCCAGAGCCACCACCGCCTGCCCAATGTGCGGCCATCCCGGCGGGAAGCGGGCACGGGCACGGCTCGGCTCCTCGGCAGGCAGAAACTCCTCCTTCTGCCGTCCCCAGCCTGCCCTGCCGCCGCGGGGAGCACGGCCATGCCAGAGGTGACCGACCTTACTGTCCCAGGCACGGCGGGCTGTGAGCTGCTAATGGCCATCTCCCTGTGTCAGCGTCCTCGTGTCCACAGCTGCTGCTGCACCCGGGTCGTGGGTAGGGTGAAAGAAAAGGGGAAGCCACAAGTGTGAATATCCAGTGCCCCTGAGTGYCAGTGAAAATCAGAAGTTGGATTTTTCACAATTAACATCCCCAAACTGTCAGGTTACATCTCTTCCTGTGATTGCTTGTAAAACAGCCTATAGTGATTAGGAAGATAAATGCTCTGGTGGTTGTGAAGTGCTCTTTAGTGTAAGAATGAACACTGTCTCTAGGGATTGTACAGGACCCAGGTTGTGGAAATGTATTCCAAGGTTTTTTTAATATTTTGGGCTTTCCTGCCTATGAATACTGTCCAGGTCATGTGAAGACACTATGTATTTAAAAAGAGTAACAAACCACCAACTAAAAAACTTGACTCCAAAACCAATCAGAATGGATTGTGTGGTTAAATAACTCCTGTTGGTCAGCTCTGCCAGTGCTAATGATTTAAACAGAAATATTAATGGAATCRTGTYGAGGTAGCACTTGGAACAAATGACTGTGACATAGATGAAGGATGAACAGTCTCACAAGCAAAATACTGAAAAAATTCAAAATGACTGCTGAATATTGCTTTAACAGATCTTTGTCAATTGTATTTAATGATTATTTTATGATTAGCTTTTTATATCTACTGTAAGCTACTTCTACCTTTGAAATAAAGTAGTTGAATGGCAGTGGGGTTTTTTTGTGCTTCAGTACTGTTATGTAGAACAGCACTTGAAAACTGCGTGTGTGCCAATAACCATTTTAATGATTTCTCCTATTTATGTTTCTAAGCTCCCGCCAGTAAATCACATCCTGCACTGAATGATTATTTCAGCCAATGAAACCAAGTTTTGTTACATCTGACTAAGTCCCCAATTTTTTAAGAAAAGTTACAGGACAGTAATGTCACATCTGACTAACTTAAGAAAAACTATTTCCATTTTCCATTCATACAAATAATTGCATCTAAAACTGCAGAAAAGAAGGTGGCGCCTCTGCACCACAAACTCTACAATCGATTTACAACAATTTACAACAAAACACTGCTAGAAATTACTGTCATGATCTTAACCAATACTACTGATATAATGTAAATTAGTCAGCAGTTTTGACTAGGAACACAAAACATAACCTCCCAGTGAAAGTCACGGGAATAAGAATGAGATTTATTAACTTCCAGAAAACTACCTGGTTTGCACAGAAGAGATTGCTCCTTTATATAAAAGTATCATTGGTAAATTAGCATGATTCTTTAGCTGTATACATTCCTCCTGTTCCGAAGAAGCTTAAATAAATCATCCCCAGAAAGTGGCTGCATCCAAGCTTGACTTAATATTTTGCATATTTTCTCGCCGTTGTTTGGTGTAAATATTTGCCTCCCCTTTCTGCAGCCGTTGCCTCAGAGCAGACTTTTGCTGCTTGGTCAGTTGTCGCTTTATCTTCTGTTTCACCAGCTCCTACAAGCAAACAATTCAGCATCAAAACTCCTTTAAATCATTTAGCACTAAGAAATGACATGACAACAGAATTTTTTTAAGACTAACATGAATATTCATGATGTTCACCTTGACTGCAGAAATGATGAAAGGAGTTGTTTCCCTTGAAAGAAAACCATAAAACATCTCAGCTGACTGAAAAATGATATTCTCTGCTATGGASAAAGTCTGCATGGAGTGCTGTGTGTGTGTGCTACACCCTCACAGCACATAAAGGGTTATGGGGTTATCTATGCTATTGTCTTCTGATAGTTTTAGCTATAATAAATAGCACTTTAAATCCCTTTTAATTAAAAAATTACATTTCAGGTGCGTAACTTTTTACTTCAGGTAAAAMATATTAATTGTGGCTAGCAACAGGAATGGATGAACTGATGCTGTYAGTGCATTAACATATATTAATATAAATTAGTTATTGGGTAAATCAGAGTTGTTAATATTGATCTGGAGCTTCGGTGAGAGACCAAAGAGTAAAACATGAAGGAGAGTGCTGGAAATCATTCCCTGTAAACAATCACAGCAGCATCTTTCCCATTTTTCTGTGTGAATGGAGATGCAAACTGGAGAGGTAGATGGCAATAGTGTTTTTAAAGACAATTAATGCCAGAGAACAACTAAAGGAATAGGTGCTAGCAGCTCTGTACAATTTAAGGTGCTCTGAGGGTAAAACAGATGATAACATAAAAACACTAATATTTACCGGAGGAATGGTTGAACAGCTCCCAACACTTCTGACTGATGAGACGCTTTTAGTCCTTGTTCTGTGCCCAGCAGTAGGAACAATACACTCTTCATTACTAAAACAGACAAATCAACGTGTTATTCCACTAGCATGGTAAACACCCCTTTGCCTTTATGAGCACATCATCCGAGCCTTCACGTTCTGGGCTACACCTGCAAACTCACAACAGAACATGCACGGGCTACCAAGGATTTCTATTCTAAATATTAACACTGCCTGTGCAAGACAGTCATTTTGTGAAAGTAARGATCTGTTGCACAAAGCCACTCAAGTATCGAGCACAAGAAGAGAAGCCTCAGGACACAAAAATAAAAACTTCAGATCCTGCACTATGTTTTAACAATCATTTAGCTCAAATGCAARAGCAGATGGGGAGGAGTATGAGCTTAATCTCTGCATGCAGGTGGGCTGGCAAACTCAAGGGATAGGAACTCACATACAAGCGGTTAGTCTGAAGGCAAGCAGGAATTTCTCAGYGTGCCAGGAAAGAAATTAAAAGCTAAACCAACACATCGTACAATGTATTTGAATAATACAATCCAAAGAGCTTGTTCTTGATAACTTCAGCTGAGTGAGCAGCAGAACATTTGGCTTTGACATGAAGTATTAAGTTATGAACTTASTTATAAAAGTAGTATTTTAACATTAAGAACTACTATCAATATTAACTGAAATAAAGAAAAAAGGGAAAGAATCCACCACAGAAAATAGGTTTCTCTATGAAGTGCAACACCTGTTTTCTCATTAAGATACTACAATATAGCTGGACAACTCTAAGTCCAACGGTAAAGGTATTCACTGCGTTATTTTCAAAATAAATTTAATTTTCGATCTTCATTTTAGACAAGGGCCTCTGAAGAGCAGTCCTTATTGAGCTGCTTGACAGATTTACATTTCTGGGGGGAAGAGCCACACTCCTAGACAGTAAATGTGAATCTTTACCTGCAATGCCTGAATTCTTCATTTAAGGCTGCTGAGYTGATCAGCTTAGGGCACTCCTCTTCATTCTCCTTACTCTCATGGCATCCTCCTCGATCCTCCAGATCTTCCAGTTCAGCAGCATTTTCAGTTACACTTTTGCCCTTAAAAGAAGTAATTGCAGAACTCTCTGCACCTTCACTGGACTTCCAAAGCACAGCTGGCCCTTCAGCTTTTTCTAGGGCTGAACTTAACTCTGCCATACTCAGCCTTTGTGTATTTTCACTGGTTCCAGCGGCATCAGTCTCTTCCTCACTGCTGCTCGCACTGTTCTCAGAGGCTCTGCTTTCAGAGAAAACACCMGCTTGACACATAAAGCCTTTACTGTTTTCTTCATCTTTGTTGAAGAAGTTGAGCTGGTTCTCAGCATCTCCTGCAAGGTCTAACATCTCTGTGTTGTCATCCTCATCAGAATCTGATGGGTAAAGCAGTTCACCATCTTCCTGCATCTCCTTTGCATAGCCACTGGCAGCAATCTCTTTATCAAGGGAACACTCTCTCCTGTTGAAGAGGAATGTTTTCTTTTAGTATAATAAATTTAATAAGCCAAATTACGAATATACTACATTTTGGATTTAAAATGATAATCACTTGACTAAAATTACCCACATTATTAATAAAGCAGATATACTTTGTTGAAACACACAAAACACCACGATGGTTCTGAGCTTTAGGTAAAATACTAAGAGTATTAGAATGTAACCCAAGAGAAGAAAACTTCTGCAGAAGATGATTCCATCTCCATAACCTGCATTTATAGGTAATTGTTTCACTTTACAAAAAATACCATTTAGTTTTAAGTTCAAATCACACTTGAGCAAACAGAATAGTAAAGGGGAGATGACACAAAGAATTATTGAAGTGTGGAACTCCTTAGGAAAGCGCTCAGAATTAAATAAAACAGTTTTCACTGCAACAGCTTCAGTCTTAAAATAAGTGAAAAATTAGTTTGCTTTCCAGATGGGGCAAAACAAATTAGGAAGAAAAGTTTAAATGTAGTAATGCCTGAGGAGGCAGTCACCCCATTTACAAGCACTTTAAAAATAGTTTTAAAATGGAAAATCAAATTAATCCTCAATATACCAGAATTGTCAAAGAGGGTAATTTTGCATCACTGTTAAAATTTCCTGGACATTTACCATTTGGATCAAGCTTTCAGATTGATCTCTCTTCCTTAGTTGAAAGAAGACAAAGACAACAGAGGATTTTAAAGAACACATTAGCTTTTGAAAACCACTTTCAGTAACTGAAGAAAACATGATAGAAATGTCAAAAATATAACTTAAAATTGCATAGTTGGGCCTATTTTTTTTTTTTTTTTTTTTTTCCCACAGGCATCCATCTTCCTCAGAAATGAAATACCATAAGTAGGAGAACTCAAACTCATCTGGTCATTTCTACCTGATGTCTTTGAATGTTGGGAAGAGCTCACTCTCATAGTTGAAGCGTTTCTTAAAGAACTCCTTGATACAATTAACATCTCTGTCAAAATACCTGTAAAAACAGAGAATTGCACAAACAAAAAAATCAGTGAAGTCTACTGCAATGAGAAGTATTTACCCTATATGGTTTTACTTGAAAATTATTTTTATTAGTGATCCCAGGACAAAATGTGAGGAAGAAAAACTGCATGCAGTTTATTTCTAAGTGCTTCTTAACTGAACAACATTACCTCTGAGAAGCAATTAATTACATATTTATACTACAGAGACATTCTTACTCATTCTTTATTTGGAGCATTATTTGTATTGCATAACAACAATGGCAGAAACAGATTCAGGAAGAGACTTATGGAAACAAGTCACGGCTAACTACTGTCATCAGTGTTTGTCACATTTACCTTAAAAACACTTTTAAATCTGAACCTACCATTCAGCATTTGCATGTGATGTTGACATCATCTGAGGGAARTCAATCAAAGTGGCATGATCATCATTATCCAAGATGAGATTAAACTCATTGAAATCTCCATGGATCAGGCCATGATTGGCAAGTTTTACAATCAGATCCATTAATTCACTGTAGACAGCAGCAGGATCTTCAATTTGGTGCACCTGGCACCTGAAAAGTTAAACAAAATAAAATAATCAGAACCTTGAAACACTTAAATTAAAAATACAGATAAAGTATACAAAACACAACTAACAGAATGCCAGGATAATTCAAGTTAAAAAGGCTCTCAGGTCAAGCATCCTCCTCAAAGATGAGTCAAATCTGAGASTAGACCAGAGTGGTCCCAGCTTAGTTCAGCTGGAAGAGAAAACGTCCAGGGATGGAGAAAGACTGTGAAACCTTCCCAAGCAACCTATGCAACTGTCTCTCTGTCCTCAAGAGGAGACGATATCTCCTTGTACCATGGCTAAACCTCATCTAAACACACAATAATTGTCTCCCATCAAGCACTGCTGTCATAATGCATTATTTAAATAAYGGAGTAGCAAACTTTYATTTTTCTCCTGTTCTAGRTAATCTTATGGTCTCAGTAGGAACTAAATCTTCTTACACTGAAATTCAAATGGCCTATAGCATTTTCTTTTAAAAAATCAGAGCTCCTAGATTAWGTTAAGAAAACCAGTAAACTTCCACTGCAGATTCATACAAGGAACTGTTTTGTTTACAGAATGGATATGGAATTACTTAACAAATGAAGGTGGGGAGACAGAACACAATGAAGTCTTTCCATGTTACTGTCCCTGCTATACTTGGAATTAATTCCCTTTTGATTAAACTGCCCACTTTAGACCTTGAYGGCTACAGAAGAGGATGGGCTGGTTAGTTCCATAAAAAGACACTTTAAATCTCCAGATTAGAACTGGGGTTTTGTACATGGTATCAGGCTTTTTGCATTCAAAACCAAACCAACCCTTCACATATAAACCTCAATAATATTTAATGCTTCTAGAGATAGAATATTTTCCTTGAGTTTTTCATTCTCAAAGGTGCAAAACCATATTATATGTGGTATTCTATAMCAGCAGTGCAGAAGTTCTACAAGAGTGAGTTACAAAATCACCTGAATTAACAGAGCAAGGATCACAAACTGGAGCTCAGAACATGAAGGATAATATAGTTAATACTCTTCTACATATGAAGTACATATAGAATATGCAATTTCTATATAGAAAACAAGGAACAATTCTAACCCTCTTRCCTTTCCTAACTTTGTTAGGGCTCTGTAACAGAGAATTCAAGCTTTATTACTTACAAAGGATATCCATCGACAAGTTCCATAACAACTGCATGCCTGTTGTAGTCTATGGGCTTTGGGACAGGAAATTCTCTGTCATGCAAAGCCTGGAAAGAGACAACAGATTGCAAAACTAAAATTAAATACTTCAGGGAACATTACATATATTGACAAACACACACCTAAGAGAAGCAGTACGTGTCACTGTCATAGCAGCATATACTGCCCAAATCACGTGCTTAACAAGTTAAACAGCCTCACAGACATTTGAACTTTCACTGCAAAGACAAATAAAATTCCTAAGTTTAACCACTGAGTGCACTGCCTAATTTAATTATCATGCATCCAGAAAAAAAACACAATAGAATGGAGAAATGACAGAACCTTATCTGTACATTACCCTGAGTAATCAGTAGCAGATAACTGGAAATGGGAAGCTGGGCATYAGAAAACAATTCCACACTAAGCTGCTGCCAATACAGTCCTGCCTGGTTAGTCAATCTATGCTCAGTTGCTGTAAACACAGGAAGTTTCTCTTTAAATAGTAATAATCAGCATTATAGCACACCTAAGATTAACCAAAGGAAAGTTACAGTATTTTGAAGCTCTCCTGTTTGCCTTTCCTAGCACTGATTTAGCCATTCACTCGACCCACTCAACTTCTCTATGGGTTCATTCTCCTTTCACTCATTCTGTAACCAGTGAACTTTTGAAAGACCGAGTCCTAAGTTAAAGCAACATAAATACACTTATCGTTACTTACATGTTACTCTACTACTGATTTTCAGCACACAATAAATCCTCCCCCAACCCTCTGCTCAGCGAAACTGACCCCCACAATTACATTCCTACAAGTTCTGACCACATAATGCTTTACCAGTTGGGCCACCTGGACCAATACAGAAGTTCTACATGATGGGGTTCATTCTTTCTCTCTCAGCAGAAGCCACTGGGAGAGTGGTTTATTTAGGAACCATGGTTTATAATGACACATYATGGTTCTTTTTTAGAAAAACAAGAAAAATGCATTTCATGTCTATACTATTCTTGAGTAGCACAGAAGGAGAAAGGAAAACTTTTTTTATTAATAATTAGTTTTCAATTATCATCTCATCTCTATACAATGTCTGTGTATTTTGAAAGATAAAAAACCCCACAGAACTCAAGAGAAGCAATATTTGCTTGGAAATGAAATCTTTTCCAACAGTGCAGAACAAAGTGTGCCTTTTAAGATTAAAACACCAGTTTGGTCTGAAGATTTCCCTCAACAGCACAGCAATAATTGTGAAAGCACAATAAATTAAAAAACAGATTAATTTTGTGAAAAGACAGCTATTTCCTAGTGTATGCAATGAATTTTAAAGGAAAAACTGCAGAACTGATGATACATAGATTATCTATCCACAAATAACATTGCTAATTTGAAATTCTCTCATGACACCTGCTTCTGTCTTATGTGATTTCCATGGCAAAGCTTCATTTTGGTACTGGGAAGTGTACAAAGTATGCAGCATTGAAAATTYCTGAAATTCATTTCAGAAGTACACATTTCTGAAATGTATACTTTAAGTCCATCAGAGGAAAGAAAAAAATGAAGCATAAATCCTGCCAGTATTGCAACACAATCTGATTAAAACACAGCCTGAGAGGTATCTTCTAGTCTGTCCCACCACTGCTGGTACTGTGTGAGTCGCCACCTACCTTCATGTAGGCAAACTCCTTCATTGCCGCTATCCGGGACAAGTACAGCCAGGACATTTTGTGCCTGTGCTTGTGGTAGTCACGTTTGTTTTTCAGATTGCGGAAGGAGGTTCTCCCCAGCCGGTGCAATTTCAGGGCAAACTGCTGCTCCTCTTCATTGGCAACAATATAAATATCTAGAAGACATGTTAACAATGCAGATCTGAGAAATAAATGGTAACCAACAAGCCAGGTGAAGAAGTGCAGTGTAAGTTTCTTACCTCCCTCCTCATTATTTCTAGCATAATAAATTCTACCAGTTAGCAAAGGCAGCTAAATTTACATTGGGTGTATCAAAGATCTGGATATAAATAAATTACTGTTAAAGAGGTCATGGTACTCCAACAGAAGAAATACTGATGGGATCTGAAGCATCTTTCAGTATTCTGGCATTCTTAACAACACCTTCTCTTTCCTGTTGAGTGGACAGACAACTCAAGGGACCAGACTCTTAAAGTGTTAGCAAATACCCCATATTTACTCTCCAGCATTTGTCCCAAATTATCCCCTTCTCCAATTACAAAAAAGTCACATTCTGTTTCAAACTACATGAATATAAGAGGAGTCAAGTTAGTACTCCAATAGTTTTGAGCCTCTATTACTTTACTACCTTATTTTTAAGTGTGATGAAACAGCTGAAATCATCTTTTTGTTAAAACAGTTTGAAACTCTTCAYAAAGCACAACACAAGCAGCATCTGCCTGCAAAGTACCTTTTTAAATGATGAGCTAAGARCCAGACAAAATAGACAAAGTTCAATTACCCTCTTGTGAAGAAATACTCAAATGTAGCCAGAAGCCTTACACAGCATTCAAACATGATATTTCAAATAAATCTTCCTGTTTGACAGATTACCTGATGTAACCATCCAGGGGCAAATTCACCAGGTTTCTAGCAAAATATCTGCAACATTACAAAGATGTGTTTGCTTAACAAGATTATTAAAAATGTTATTTTATTTACCTGATTCTTTGCCAACACCCATCTGGTTTCCCACAGAAGTAATGACTTGTCGGGAAGAGAGAGTTTTCAGAGCCAAGTAATCATATCCTGCATTAGTTAACCGATAACCCTGCACAGCTAAGGAAAAATAAAATAAAAAATGTTTCCTTCCTTATTATGCGTAAGTCACATTCAAAATAAATCTCAATTAATCAGTTTCCTGTTTTAGCTTGCAGTATACAACACTCAAGTAATATTCCACCTTTTKACTCTTATCAGCCCAATCTGACTGAATGGTAAAGATGTTTAAATTGGTCTGGAGCAACCTTTAATCATCTGAAAAACAGACAAAAGGSAGAGGTATTTCCCATAGACTCCCCCATCACGCTTGCAGGGCCAGATGCAATTTAAAGGCTGAGAAGGAAATGGGGAAAGACCTGCACAACTTTGTCACACAGCAGATAATAAATACCGTTTCAGCAGCTGTTCCTGAGGGAGTGAAATGTCCAAGGATTGTGCAGTCTGTGTAAAAATACAATTAATTTGGGTTGATTGTTTTAAGTGACGATCCTTTTCACTCAATTCTGAGCAAAGAAGGAAGTTAATTGTTCACTTCTCTTCTGCCTGTCACCTCCAGAGGCACAAGCAGACCCAGCGTCTGGTGCTGCACAAATCCACGTTCCCAGGATAAGCCCAAGAGAAGGCAAAGAAAACACTCTGGCCAGTCTTACATCCCAGCCTGCTGGGCAGGTATCACTGTGAGACACTRGGGACAAGATGAGAAAGGGACACACAAACACAAAATCCAAACTCACTTTTAGTTCGTTCATAAGCCACGAGTTTGTGCTTTGCCAACTCTCTCAATATTTTATTACAGCCACCATGTTTAAGACTAGCAATGGAAGCAATTAAGCTAGCAGGAACTATTTCATGATTCTTCATGCCCATTTCCACCTAAAATAGTAACAAAAACAGATTTATTAGCTCCCGTCAACAATGAAATACCAGTAAAATCTCTTTTCAAGGACGCAACTTTAAAAGACTACAAATTTTAAGACGTAACCTTTTCTGTTTTAAGACTCAACAAAGGTTTTAATGCATTATTGCCCCTTGGGAGCTTATGTACAATCCAGCCTGGGAATTTTTTCAGTGACAAACAGAACATGAGTGGATGATCCGATTTCAGACCCAGCCACGGGGAGTGGAAAGCAGACACGCTGATGATGGTGCCTCACCTTCATGACCACCCAAGGATTGCCAGAGACCACCCAGGCCATCTTCAGCCAACGCCTGGCTATCCCCGATACCACCCGTGCATYCCCAAAGGCCACATGGACATCTCCAGTGATCCACCAAGTATTCCAAGAGACCCACCGGTCATCTCCAGCGACCTCCTGGGCATCCCCAGCGATTTCCCCTGGATATACCCAAAGACCTCCCCGCCCTTACCGATCCCCCCAGCCGGGACCCCGAAACAAACACAGGCCCGAACCGGGCCCTGCAAAGCGGAACAGGCCAGCACGGAGCCCCAGGGGAAGCAGCGGCACCACAGACGGGTCCCACCCGGCCCAGCCCGGCCCCGGCCCCGCTGCCCGTGCCCGCTCACCGCGGTCAGCACCCTGAAGTGCTCCCGGGACAGGTACCGCAGCATCACCACGTTCAGCTTCCCCATGGCCGCAGTGCTGTAAGCGCAGGAGCAGGAAAAGCGGGAGGAAGGAAAGGAAGAAGAGGAGGAGACCGGGAAGCGCATGCGCAGCAGCGCCCCGGGCAGGTCCTGGCAGCTGCGTACTCCATTGCGCTCCGCTAGGTCCGCGTGCGCTCCGCCGAGTCCTTGTGCCCTCCTCCTGACACAGAGCCGGGATCCACCGGGAACCGAGAGAGAGAAAGCTGTTGCTCCGAGCTGGGCATGGCCCCGCTCCATCATTCTCTTCCCGGGGTAATCCTGTGGGACCTGCGTGCATCTGCCAGGTCCTGTTTCCCTCAGGAATCGGTGACTACGGTGGTGCCGAGCGCCGCGTGCAGCGAAGTAAAGCAGAAAATAAACATTATAAGCACGTAACATGTAAAGAGATAATTAGGGATGTAAGCGACAATAAGGGATATATATGATTATTTTTAGGGGAAAAAAGTTTTAAGATCTGCAGATAATATCATGATGATATTATACAAATACTTTTTCTGCTTAAAATGGACATAGTGTAATTTCTATTAAAATAAGCGTGTGAACCATGGAGTGTTGCTTTAGGGAGAAAAAAAAATAGCTAGTTCCGCCATAATGTTTTTTTTTCTTTTTTTTCTTTTGTTTTGTGGGGCTGGTGGTTTCGGGTTTGTTTTGGTTTTGCTTTTTTTTGTGGGGTTGTTTTGTGGGTGTTTTGTGGGGGCGTTGGTTTTGTTTTGGAATTTTTTTTTGTGTTTTTCTTTTGTTGGTTTTGTTTTTATAGGTTTTTTGAGTTTTGTTGTGTTTTGTTTGTCTGAAAAAGCAGATTTTCAGAGTATGTGGCAATTTACAGCTGGAAGGATGCTGCACGTCAGTTTAGTATGAAATAATCCGTAAGGAAGTTACCATCAAAATAGTCAAACCAATCAGAGAAGTGGCTCAATATGTACGTAGTTCTCTTTGACCTTATTTTTGAATCTTTTTGTGCTTGTAGGTGTGCAGAATGCTTTAACTTATGACCAGTGCCCTACTCATATTTTGCAATTAGAGGATAAATACTTAACTATATATTAGTATAGTTAATATATTTATATATAGAATATAAAGAATTGAAGATGCCAGAAATTAGTCAGTGATAGTCACCAGCGAAAAATATTTAGGAGGGGGCATCAGAGGCATGTGATAATTTGCAGCACAAACACCCAGCAGTTTTCAGCTCTTTTGCTTCCCGAGTGTGCATTTGTGTCTGACAGCTCTCCAGTGTTCTTGTCTTTCTGGGGCTTGGGTCATTTTCGAGCATTTAAAAAGCCTTACGTGTGCAAAACTGGACAAGCAAGAAGTTCCGTACCTAAATAAATAAAACCATGTCAGGTGTGCTTTAATGAATCTGTATTGCACGCCACATTTCATTGTTACCCTGAAATACATGGCTACAGTGCAAGTTGCTTTTATTCAGATATTTTATCCATATCTCCTGCTTTGATATGGGACATAATTTGCAAACAGAAATAGTGGAGATTCCCCACTACATTCCCTGTAGAAGGTTCATCCACTTGCCAAGCCCCATTTTTAAGTCGGTTTAGTCTTTTTCTCATGTAACTCCTTTCATTGCAAGTGCAGCTAGTGCTAAGATCAAATTTAATCAGAAGAGGGCAGCACTTCATTTATTTTGGCTTTTTTTTTTTTTTTTTTTTTTTTTTTTTTTTT